CTCACCACCATGTCGCCCGCAGGGCAGGGGTTCATTCCCCGTCGCAGCAAGGCTGGATTTGTCGTTCGGGGCGAGCGCCCGTTCGAGAAGGACCCCACTGGCTGGGTCTGGCAAGACGAGCACAATGGCCCGGTCACCATGTACATGAAGGACCACTTCTTCAAGCAGTGGTCCCAGGAGGAGCCCACCTACTACTGGGACCCTGAGTCGTACAAGTGGGAGGCAATCAAGGAGGAGGATGGCACCTGGCATTTCATGACCAGCAATGATTGGATGCCGGCATGGGCAAAAGTTCCATCCCAGCCAGGCGCACATGAAACATCACAGCCGTCCCAGCCGTCCCAAGGGTACTAGCCACCCGGACCGCGAATTTTTGGTCACCCAGCCCAAGCTTCTTTGCCAAGGACTGACTGATCGCCAAAACGAAGAACCCATTGTTTAGTTCAAAGCCGCTTTCCAGCTTATTGGCTGTGGTCTTGAGGGCTGGGTGATGAGTCAGCTCAGCATTGTGAGACTGGCCATTTTGGCAGGTGCTTGCAAATCATGGCTTTCTTTCGCACTCTCTTTTGCAGTTACCGCATGTTTGCTTCATCGCCCCAGTGCCACAGAGTCCCTGAGGCTCGGAGTTCTGACCCAGAGTCTCAGGGGCCGCCCGATGCCAGCCTTGACAGTTTGCTGGCATGCAAAATTCGAGCAAAAAGTGAAACTTGGACTCACATTGAGATCACCAGCATGCTCCGCAAACACATGCTCACCCGACTGCGCGCCCAGGTTTGGACCTCTGCCTGGCCCTGGTCCACTCAGGACTGCCTGCGCCTTCAGTAAGGGTGACAGTCGGGTTTCGCGCGTTTTGGTTTGTTGCAAAGTTGTTGGCGGGGCACCCTGACAGGAAACTGATGCACTGCTTCTTTCAGATTTTCTTGAACTCTTTTTCGTTGCCGCTTTTCTTGACATTGCCCCCTAAAGCTGGAAAGAAGCCTAGTTTCATCTGGGGGGCACAAGGAAGAAGGCCTGAGGCCGAGGGTTTTCTATACTTCTGAAGCCTGCGCTTGTTGCTTGTGTTAGTATATATGTATTATGTCTCATCTTGCTCGGTAATGTGCACCTACTGCTTCCAATTGCAAAAGAGCGCATTTTGTGAGATGTTTATCATTTTGCATTGGAAACTAGTAGATGAACATTCCCGAGGAAGATTAGACATAATACTTATGATGTACTAAAGTTGTCACCGCATAGGGCTTTATGTTTTGGCTGGACCCTGAAGGCTCGCCTTGGACCCAGTGAAAAGAAAGTTTGCGGCTTCCGCTCAAGGCGCAGTGGCTCAAAACTCTTGGCCCATGAACAAACTTTTGGCCAAGCAACCCCATCATGGAGCTGGCTGCATCGATACGAAACGCGTAAAATTCGTATACTGCCATCCTCAAACGGGCCGCTGGTGGTGTCACAAAATCAACCTGGGCAGCACTTTTGCAACCTTGGGCGAGCTGATTTCTGCCCTGGAGTCCTGTAAAAAGGGGAGGGCTTTCCTGGCCAAGCATGGCAAGTCCAAGGCAGAGCAGCGAATAAAAACCGAAGATTTGGTGAACAGAGTTCGGTGCTTGGCTGCTTACACACTCAGTGGATCGCGCCGCTGGTTTCCCGCTGATGTGCATTCTCGTGAGCGCTTGGCTGCTAGCAAGCGCGGGCAGCAAATGTTCAAGAAAGAGCCGGCCTTGCACATCATCAGCCTTCAACTCAGGATGTGGCCCTGGAAAGATGCTCTCGTCTCAGAGTGGCGGCGCGTTGACCAGAGTCCAGAGGGCAGAGACCAGACACTGGAGTCCAGAGTCTCCAAGATCCGCACTGTGCTTCTGAAGTGTGCAATCCGCATGAGCAAGCAGCCTGTCAGCCAGCAGTGGCAAAGCAACGCGATCCGAAACCAATGGAGGGTAGCGGGGCCTGTCTCTTGGCCTGTTGAGAAATGTTTGTACCTGCTTGGTGCTTGTTTTGGCACGTTTCAAGAATGGCTGAAAAGTATTCGGTTTTGGATGAAAGGAAGAGTATTCGGTTTTGGATGAAAGGAAAAGTATTCGGTTTTGGATGAAAGGAAAAGTATTCGGTTTTGGATGAAAGGTTCTGACGCTGAAGACGCTGGGTATCCTGAAGAAGCTTCCTAAGCAAGCCGCTGTAAAGGGAAGCCTTTCTTTCGTTCAAGGGCACGAGGGCCAGCGGGAGTTTTGCTGGCAACTGGACCACGGCAGAGGCAGCGCTGTGCGAATTGGACTGTTTGTGAAGGCAGTGGACGCAGTGGTTGCTGCTGTTGGCCCGGACGCGGCAGCGACCTTTGGGGAGCTATGTGCCCAGGCAGGCAGCTTGTAAAGCCCTTGTTGGGGCAACTGCTATTGTCACTTTTACCTTGCCTGCTTTGCTCGTAAGCCCGGTTTCCTATTCAGACAGGTCAAGCGGGGCAAGAAGGCAATCAAGGAGCTCCCCTTCAAGCCACCTTTCTGGAATAAGGACGGCAGCAACTATCACTTCAAAGCGACGTTGAAGTCGTTCCTGTCGGACTTGGCAGCTATGAGCAACAACCAGTTGAAGCTCGATAAGAACTTGACACTCAACAAGCTTGTGCACATGAACCCCGACATGCAGGCTTTGGATACTCTTTTCTTTTTAGCGGGCCAAGCTCCGTTCAAATAGCAGGGGTTGTAACAGATCGTTTCATGAAGGCTGCACCAGCCTTGTCCATGAGGGTCCTTAGCCCACTTTTACCACAAGTTGCTTCCACAGCTTCACAAACAAAACTTCCAAGCCCCTGGCCTGAAACGATGGAATGGCACTTAGAAGCATACGTGCGCTAGTGGGGGGCCCCCCAAATAAATTCAGCTCAAAGACCCATCGTTTCAGGAAAGGGGCCTGGAAAGTCAAAGAAGCGCTCCCCACTAAGCAGTGGAAGCAACTGTGGTAAAGGCTCTTGAATTTACATACCCCAGCACTAGCAGAAGCAAAACTCACAACAGCGTACTAAGGGAAAATCTGCACACCCCATGTGAAAAGTAAAGCTGGCAGGCAAACCTGGTGAGGATCAGGGCGAAGATGCTGGACCAGGGCTTCAGAAACATCACCCCGAAGCAGTTCTGTAAATACCTTGGCTGTGAGGCTGACCCAGGGGCAGTGTCGTATCTAGCTTGCACTGCTGGGGACCGATCCTTCCAGCCAGGCGATTTCCGCAACTTCAATGTACAGATTTGGTGGAAACTTGCCACGCGCTTTCAGAAACTGCACGGCTGTGAGCCCCATCCGGCTCTGGTTGCAGTCATGGCCCGGCAGCTAGCAGAGGACTGAGGCCAGAGCCCTTGAGGTCCAGAGTCAGGCGCCTGGCAGGTTGGAGCGCCCAGCAGAAAACACAGCAAAGGATCTCGCAGTGCCGTGCGCAAACTGCTCAGCAAAACAACAATACTATTTCTTGCAACAAAGTTTGGTCTGCAAATCGCTTTTCCTTCTTGTTCATTGGCTCATTGACTCATTGACTCATTGACTCAGTGACTGTGGCTGCGCTTGCGTTGAAGCTAGCTTGGCCATTCAGTGCATGACTCTGGGCTCTGGGCTCAGGAACTCTCCTACATTGGCATGCACACATGATTGTTTGGACTCAGATCTTGAGCTGCTTGGACAGTGTTACCGCTGCATCCTTGCCGACGCACACCTTGAGCCTGAGGATCTTGGAAGCCTTTGTAGCCAGGACTCTCCACCCAAACTCCCCCCGCTTTCGGGCTAGGCAGGCTTGCTTCAAAGCTTTGAGCTTTTTTGGGCTGAGGTTTTTCCCTTGTTGGTGTTCCAAGTAGGACTTCCGGCCATTGACCTTGCCTGGCAAGCCCGCTGCCTTCATTTTGGCAGCCTTTGCTTTCAGCCCTTCCTGTAAACGATAAACAATGGTGTCCCTCTCAAACTCCTGCACTGCGGCCATGATCCTGCGCTGGAAATTCTCCGCAGGACTGGCTGTGCTGCTGAAGAGCGTTGGAGGCAGGTCCGCCACGACAATGTGCGTGCCAGTGCGTTTGGCCTCCTCATAGATCTCTTCAATGGCACTGGTCTTCCGCCCCAAGGCCCTCAAACTTTCCACATAGATGTGACTGAAGCCACCGTTGAGCAAGGACTGAAGTTTCTTCCTGTCTTTTAGGGGGAGCATGCCTGAGATGCACTCAGAAACACGCTTGGCACCTTTGTAGTCCTTGCCTTGCACGGCCTTCAAAGCCTTGAGACTTGCCCGGAACTGCCTGTTGCCACTGTCGCCTTTCAAGTTTGTCTTTGTGGATGTTCGGGTGTATATGGCAGTTGCAGTCTTGGCCATGGCTTGGTGACTCAGAATCAGAACTCTGTGACTCAGTTGCTCTGAGCTCAAGTCGGTGCTAGCGGCGAGCAATGGCGGCCCCCCAGCCAAACTGGCACTTTCCAGATGTCCTCAAACCTGGAAGAACAACAGCCCGTGAAGCAGAAAGTGCCAGGCCAAAGCCCCTTGCCCCAGGCAGAGTTGCCACAAATCCCGGAGTTCCAGAGGTCTCAGGGCAGAGTCAGTGTCAAGAAGCTGCTCAAGAACAAGATCATGCCCAAGCTGAACAAGCGCAAGCTGAACAAGTCCCAGAACCCTCTTCCGTGAAGCTTGAGGCCACTGACTCAACACCGCTCCCTACACCAGAAGACCCTGACACCCTGGTGCCTGCAAGCCCCGCCGGCGAGGAGCCAGAGGTGAGCGATGCCGCAGGAACATCTCCGGCAAACTCTGCCTTGGGCCGCGACAGCGAGAAGAACGAGGCCGGCAGGCAACTGAAACCCGAGAGTGAGCCCGTGAGCCCAAGTCCAGATTTTAGGGTTGCAAACACTTTCGTGTGAAGCATCTTTCTGTTCGCCTGCTAGCGCCAAAACATGGTTCCCTTGATTGTGTCAGGACAACCTGCCGGAGCTGCCTGGCAAGCCGGAGGAGGCAAAGGAGGAGGCGGATCCCAAGGAGGCCGAGAAGCCCCACGAGCCTTCTGGGCCCCGGGCCCAGCACCGCCGGCGGCGCCGACGATCCCCATCATCCTCCTCAGAGACACAGACAATCAAAATCAACCTGCGAGTGACGTTCAAGAAGAGACGCGGCAGCCGCAGGTGGGAGGTCTACAACATGGGGTGGGGGCCACGCTGAGCCTCTGAGTCTCTGAGGCTTGAGTCCCGAGCCACAGTTTTCTGAGCGCCTGGCCAGCAGAGGAAGGTCCTCTGCCAAGCACCTTGCTTCAGGTTAAGTCTCTTTTCCACCGTGCAACGTGGCAGGCCAGTGGCAGAGTGCATGAGTGCTGAGTCACTGAGGCAGCTGTCAAAAATTACTGCTGCAGCTATCGCAGGTCGTCTTTGGGGGGGATGATGGAGAGAAAGCGGTGCCCTAAACAGTTGGGAAAGCATGTTATGTCGATTTTGGACTGTTGATAGCCAATTGGATAGGGATTTATGACTTATTTGTCTACACAACTCTGGCCCAGTGGACACTGCGTGTGGCAAACAGTTTTCCATTCAAACGCACATCATCCAAAACCGACAACGTTGACGACCTGTTGCAGAACAGCATTTCCAAAAGCACACCATCCAGAACCGACATTTTGCAAAACAGGTTTCAAACCCAACGCACACCATCCAAAACCGACAAATTTGTGGAATCATCCAAAACCAACAACATTGTGTAGAACCAAGTGGTTAACGTTTTTTCAAGAAGCCCCGAACATGTTTGCAACCGCTTTGGATGAAGGAGTCACTGGCCTATCTCACAATTCTTTGGCAACATAAGCTTGGCTAGCTAAAAAAGTTGTTGGTTTTGGATGGCAGGGGCTGCAGGCAACACATCCTTAACAACACAATTCCAAATCATGATGGCAAATGGGACCATGCCCCACCTAAACCCAACAACTTGTTTGGCACCCTTTGGAGGACACTTTCTCAGCAAGGACGCCCCCCTGCTTTGGCCTGAGCTTTGAAAGGTTTGGACTCTTGGGGAAAACCACTTTTGCCCACAGTTTCTCATTTTGGGGTGTCAAATGGCTTTGAATTGCGACGGCCAGGCGCCAAGTTCAAGAACGAGCTAGCTGGCACGCCCCTGGCCTGTTTGCATGCACCAGCTGTGCACTGCTGCAGCTTTTTGAACAAGACCGAGGGGCAAAACCCATTAACTTTGAAGTCTGCTTGAGCCTGCAGAAAACTCCCTTCTATTTCCCCAAATGCAATTTGAGAGCAAAACCCATTTACTTTCAAATCTTTTTAAACCTGATGAAAACTCATTAACCCCAAAAAAGTTAATGAATTTGGGATGAATCTGCCACGAACCACCCCCCCAAAATGAGAGGCAAACAAATGGCACTATCGCCCCCCGATAGCGCCATTTCTCTCAAGCAACAATGGGGGTGCTGCCATTTCTGATACCCTAGATGATGAAGGTCTCGAAATGGCAGCACCCCCATTTTTGCTTGAGAGAAATGGCGCTATCGGGGGGGGATAGTGCCATTTGTTTGCCTCTCATTTTGGGGGGGTGGTTCGTGGCAGATTCATCCCAAATTCATTAACTGTTTTGGGGTTAATGAGTTTTCATCAGGTTTAAAAAGGTTTGAAAGTAAATGGGTTTTTATCTTTCTTCAGAAACGAGGAGTTGACTGCAGGCCTAAACACACTTCAAGAGTTACAGGGTTTGGCCCCTCAGTGAGAACATGATGACTTCTTGCCAAGTCATTCATTCGTGCTGTGCGTTGGCGAAGCTTGCTTGCCTTGCACACCTGCAGCTCTGGCTGACAGCCAGGCACCACCAGCCAGAGTCCCTTTGGTCCCTGAGTCAGAACATTCTAGTCGGGAAGCAATGGATGCTTCCTTGAAAGCAGTGGTGGGCAAGTTTCAGTCATGGATGGTCGATGCCTTTGGCGGATCTGGCGACCCACAGCTTCCGGACGCTGTCGAGATCTGCCCCTCAGTTGAGTTGAGTAAAGTTTCTCAGAAATGGACACCAGCTGACTAGGTTGACCTGCTTTTTGGCCCCAGGCGACTACTTCCAGTCACACTTCGGGGACAACTCGGAAGCCCTCACAACCATCTTCAAGAGCGTCATGCACAGAGTGGAGCAAGTTGACCCCACATTCACATATTCCCGCAAGCCTGTTGCAACCAATGTCCCTGATGTACCAGAGCTTGGAGAATCCCTAGAGTTGAATTTGATGCCATGGCATCTGAGCTTCGACCCCAGCTTGTCTCTGAAGGGCAAGTCCAAAATGGTGTACATCAAGACCTGTGTCACTGACTTCCTGGAGCGGCCCTACAACTCGATGGAGAACCCGATACACGTGTTCTTTCCGAAAAAGTGCAACACACCCGGGCAGGCCATTCAGAGCTACGGAGTGGGACATGGCATCGGGTTTGCCAAGAGCCTTGCCATCAAGATGCTCCTGCTGGGTGTGGTTCAGATGCAGCTGTCCGACGCAGAGCTCAAGGCCATCGCTCCGCAGCTGAAGGCATTGTTCAGCTTCCGCTGCCTCTACAAGACTTTGGGGGACGAGAAGCAGGACCGCATCCAGTGCCTGAAGGACAAGTTTGGCGAGGCTGCCCGGCCGCGGCCAGATTGCATCCAAGTCTGCACCATTTTGCAGGCCCAGGCCAGGGAGGAAGGTGCGCAGTGGGAGCATGCTGCAGCTCGCATGATCTCTGAATTCAACAAGGGTAGCACCAACGAAGTCAAGCAACTTTCAGACTTGGAGATGTGCATCGTGAAAGTCCTGCCATCGATTGAGGAGGACACCCTCAAGATGATCGACTACCATTGGCAGAACCATGCCATAAAGACCAGCGCCTTGCCATACAAAGTGCTGGCCACTGACGCATTCATGAGTGGGTCAAAGCCAAAGCCAAGCCAGGACTCCAAGCTTTGGCGTGACATCCTCAGCTTGAGCAACGAGAAACGGCACTGGTACATCACACGCAAGATCAGGCTCTACCTCTTCAAGATTGCGGATGCGAAGCGGCTGAGGAGGAAGGTCAGCCCAAACAGCATCCGTGACGAGAGGGACAACGACAGTGCTTGGGCAATCGCTTGCATTTTCACGCATTTCCAAGAGGCCTGGAGCGGCCTTGTCACTCAGAGCTCCTTGCAGCGCCTCCAGGACAACTTCTGCCGGGGATACCTTGACACTGAGCTGCTTGAGAAGTACCGCCTGATGAACCCCAGTCTTGCTGCCACGAGCTTCCGGTTCTTGGCGGAAGTCGGCTACCAGGCCGGATGGTGAGGGAGGGGGGGCATGGCAAGGGATTGCTCAAACGCTTGTTGTTTGCAGGGAGACCGGAGTTCCGAGTCCCAGAAGACAGAGGTCGAGCTTGCCGCTGACCTGCAAAAGGCCGAGCTCGCCCAGACCAAGGCGCGCCTGCTGAAGGAGCAGCGGCAGTGGATGCAGTTCAACGAGTCTTTGGAGGAGTTCAAGCTGGCCACCGTTGGGATGAAGCAGGAGCACGTGGACAAGCAACGTGATGTGCAGCGAGCGGCCATAGAAGACTTTGCAGACCTCTTCTTCCCCGTGAGGGACCTAGCAGAGATCTCGCATGGCCTCACCTTTGCGGAGGCCAGCATCCACAAGTGCTGCGGCAAGATGTCGGCGCCGCAGGAAGCAGTCTTCAAGGTGTATTGGCTGAACTCCGCAGTGCTGGGCTATGATGCAGTGCTTGGAGTCTCCGAGGCCGTTGCAGAGTACGCAAGCCATGTGGCAAGCAGCCCAGCGAGCTCGTGCATTCTGGTTGCCGCTCCAACAGCAGGCGCTTGGGGGAGCGAGTGCCATGAGACTGCAATCGTTGAGGCCACAGAGAAGGTGCGCCAGTTGCTGCAGCACAGCGAGCGCAGGCTGCTGGTTCGGGAGGTGTGCCTGCCCTTCCAAGTTGACAGCATCCAGGCACAGTCAAAGCGGCCAGGAATGCACAAAATTTTCCTTTGCGTTTCTGACCAGTGTGATGCATCCGGCCAGCCGGTCTCCAAGTTCACGCAGTCCCAGCTTTGGAAGAGACAGATTGTGGCTGGGAGCATCAAGGTCCCGATGGCTGCAGTGAAGCAGATGGTTGACCCGCGGAGGAGCTTCGTGGGTGCGTCTGGGCTGGCAGACAACTTGAGCAAGCCGTCGCGGAGGAAGCAGTGGCTTGCTGGCTGGCAAGTAACCGCTGCCCTGCAGGAAGCCTTGTGGTCTGGCATGGGCCAAGTGCTTCCCAAGGCAAGCATGGCTGCTTGGGTGGACGTTTTCATGTACGACCATTTTGCAGCCGAGGGCCTGATGCGGGCAATGGACAACCCGGCCAGTCCCGACATGATGTACATTGGGCTGGTGTGGGCTGACATGAGCTCCCGTGATCCCTCCAACTCTGGCGCCCAGCGAACCTCCGCAGAGGTCGGTCAAGACAACGCGAAGATCTGCAACTGGGTGAGGAAGCAGATTCGCCGAAAGCTGCAGGGCTATGCCACTGAAGGGGCGTTGAGTGTACCTGGCTGGGAGCCCATCACCGGGTTTCAGGAGACACGGGCTGTCCCACAAGTGTCAGAAGCCGACTTCACACTGACCTACCCGGCAGCTTCCAACTTGCTTCCTCTGCGCAGCTGCATCTTGGAGACTCTTGCCAACAAGTTCACTCACGGTGATGCGGCAGCGGCTTGGGCAGAGCTGGTCAGTGAACACAATGCTGTTTGGAACCCTTCTGGCACCCCCCATGAGGAAACCAAAAAGCGAGCGGCGTCAGAGGAGGCCACTTCACCCCAACAAGAAGGCCAAGGTGTTGGAGTCCAAGGCAGGGCAGCCAGCCTCTCTGGAGGAGCTCATTGCGCAGAAGGGCGCTGTGGTTGACTTGACAGAGACGGTGTCCAACGCCCATCTCTTCTTCACAGATGGTGGGGAAATCTGGGCTCTGGCTGACTCTGACACCACCTTGTCTGACCGTGGCCCGCCTCTGGCTCTCGTGTACGGGACGTTCAAGCTCAACGAGGCGGGTTGGGGCATCTGACTCCGTGCGCAAGGTGTTTGAAGTTTATGGAGTTGCTTGTTTCGCTTGGCAGGAAGCAAGCACGGCATCCAAGAAGAGCTCCTGCTTCCGTGCCACCTTCAACAGCGACACTGAGGAAGCGGTTTTCCGCAAGGCAGCCGACTCCGCCAAAGAATGCAAGCTGCGGACATTGCGCAGCTGGCTCAATGAGCAGGAGCAGCTTGGCTGTGACATCCAGGCAGTGGAGTTTGCCTGCCACTCCCTGAAGCCAGGCTCGGAGAAGGACAGAAAGTTGACGCGTGACATGGATTCTCGCAGTAGTTTGTGTGCCCACTGCTTGCCTTTCTTTGCTAGGACAGCGCCGGGGACACCACAGGGCGGGTCTATGAGGTTCAGGTGACGGACCCCTGTGTGTTCCTCCCTTCACGCACGCCGCGCAAGGTTGGGAGCGCAAAGGCCCCTGACTGGGAGGATGCTGGAAGCTTGTCTGTCAGTGGCCAAGCCACGAAGAACTGGAATCTTGAAGAAGGTACGCATAATTCAGGCAACCTTTCACTGAAGCACCGCTGGCTGTACAGTGACGGAGAGCAGGGGCAAACATGCAACCCTGAGAAGCCTGGCTTGTTCCCGAGTGTGCAGTTGCAGCTGAAGCAGGGCATTCTGGTGCAGCTTGCGTGATCTGCTGGCCCAGCAATTTCATGGCGCAACTCGGCTTTCCAGCGCTGAGTCCCTGAGCGCAGACTCAGAGTCAGAGCTGGGTTTTGAAAGCTTGGCGAGAGAGAGAGCTTGCGTGTCACAAAAAGGATTGAGCTGCACCTCTGTGTCTTGTTTTGCCTCATGTCGTCTTCCTAGGTTTGGCAGGCATTGCGCAAACAACATTTCGCCAGCTCAGAGTGTCAGAGGCCCCGAGACTCCGAGAACCGAGAAGCTGCCATGGCATCTTCGGACTCTGGTGGCGAGGACTGGATGGAGCTGTGCCAGGAGCCGGCTGCCAAGCCTGCCGTGAAAGAGCGCGCAGCGCCACCGGCAAAGCTTGCGACAGTGCCTGTCAACAAGGGTCAGCCCACCATGCCTCGCAAAGAGGCATCGTCCGCATGGAAAGCATGGATGCAGCCAAGGCCTGGATCCAGCGAGCTGGGGCACACTGAGACTCCACCACCCAAAGCCAGAAAAGACAAGCAAGCTTGGGAGAAGCACACGGCGGCAGCGGCACAAGCCGCCAAAAAGGCAGCTGAGGCAGCTGAGGCGTCCGTGCGGCTGGCACACATGGCTGCGCAACAAATGGCCCAGACCATGGCCAACCGAGTTGCAGCAGGCTCCCGGACCAGCCGCGCGCCTAACAAGGCTGAGCAGCCCACCCCGCCAAAACACTCACCACCGGCTGCTCTGCCAACAGAAAGTCCTCAGCAGGCAAATCCGTTGAAAAGAGCTTTGTCCTTCCAAGCAGAGACACCTGAGCAAGCTTCTCCAGAGGAGCCACAGCAGGAACCAACCAAGGAGGCATCGGCGGGGTCAGCGCCTGGCAAGGGTAAGAAAGACAGGGCCGCTCGATTCACCGCTGGGACATTTGCAGGGAATCGGCCACCAGCCAAAGCAGATCTGCGCGAGACGTTTGATTTGAAGAAGAAGGTGTTTGAGGAGTGCAGGGATGAGCTGGTGAAGAAGTACCCAGGCAAATGCGGCATTCTTGGCAAGACGAAGGCGCAGACAGCTTACTGGACCTTCTTGCAGTCCCACATTGGCAAGACCAAGGCCAAGAGCAAGACCAAGATGTCTCAAGCAGAGGCGCGCGACTGTGTTCGTGAGGCCAGCCAGCTTTGGAAAGCGCAGATGGAAAAATCTCTGTGCAAGAAGAAGTAGATTTTGTGACATTCGTTCACTGTGGGTTTCAGCCACTTTGCAGCTCAGAGGTCAGAGGCTGACTTCGGAGCCCCAGAGTGCAGGGGTGGGGCAACAGTCGCAACGAATCGAGAAGGAGAAAGGCTTTTGCAAGTGTCCGTCTCAGTTGTGCATGTGCCTTGCGTTTGCGCCTTGGGTTTTCTTGTGTGTTCGCAGCAATTGAGCAAAGTTTTTGTTGCCATGGCTAGCTGGAACCATGCCCGACTGGACGCGGCCCTCGCTGTGCAGCGAGAGAGCCCAGACAGCTGCCAGTACTTGGCAGCAGCCATGCGTTGGAGCTTCGCCTCCGCCCCCAGCAAAGAGGGCAAAGTGCGCAGCCAAGCCAGCTGTGAGTTGGCAAACGCCGCCTGTGACCAGCCAAAGCCAAGGCATGATCGTGGCCAGCAAGCCTCTCTGGACAAGTCCAAGGCCAGACTCTCTGGGATCTGAGTTCCAGAGTCCCAGAAACAGACCGATCGGCCCAATGGAAGCAGTGCCTGAGGTTCACCTCACGCTTGGCATGGCAATTCTTGCTGGGGGGCAGTTTGGTTTGACGTCGAGCGCTGACGCAGCAGCCATGGCAAAGGACGTGGCAGCTGAGCTGGCGCATGCATGCGCGTCCTCGCAAAGTGGCTCTGGGGCATGTTCTGTCTGCGAGGACGGGCTGCAGCTGCAAGATGTGATCGAGTTCCGCCGGGCCTATCACAACTTGGCTGTGGAAGGCAAGTCCTTCCTTCTGAGCACCTGCTATGCTGAAGGTTCAGCTTCCAGCGACTACACTCGTGTGCGCTGGCGCTTCCTGGGGAAGCGCGTTTGCACCCGCAGGCTTCTTAAGCTTCTGGGCACCAGCGCAAGAACTTTCACCAAGGCTGTGCAAGGCAGCATCGACAAGAGGCAGTTCAATGGAAGGCAGGCAACGGAAGCCAGCATGTCAGTGAACCAATTCTTTTTGGAGGTGTACCACTCAGCTGCTGAGTTTTTGCCAGAAGACCCCTCGTGTCACGTCACCAATGTGGACGCCAGCATCAACGCAGATGAGCTGGAGGGAGCGCCCGCCACTGCCAGCAAGCCAGCCTGTCATCCGACCCTGCCTTTGTTGGGCTGGGACCCGAGCGAAAGCATGGTTCAAGACCTTGGTGCTGCAGCTCTTGGCAACCCTGAGCCACTGCCCACCAGATACGTGCAGCACTTGAAGCCCGTGGACCTGTGGTGGCAGTATCTGGCCTGGGCGCTGGTGCGGTGCCCGCAGAGCAAAACTGCAAGCTGGAGCACCTTTTGGCGAGCCTGGCAGTCGAGTTTCTTGGCAGGTTTGTGAGATTCGTTCTTTTGTATAAACTGTGTTTTCCAGCCGATTTGAGTAAGGATGGAGGCATTCGATTGGGCTCCGAAAGGTCTGCCAACACAGCCAGTGCAACCAGTGCTTCGAGCACTCGCAGTTCATACATAGCAGCGGGGCTCCATCTGCAGAGAAACACCTCCGAGCCCGGGCATGGCAAGAGCACCTCCGAGCGCAGTATAAGGACCGTTTGATTTACTGGCGCACCCGATGGCTGTCTCGGAGGCCTGATTCAGAGTCCCGAGTCCTGTGCATCATCATCGATGGCCTCGACAAGAACAAAGGTGTTTGGCCACAGTATCGGTGGCGCAAGCCAAAGGTCTTGGACAAATTCAATCGTCCCCGCATCACGGTCCACGCAGCGATGGCGCACGGCTACACCTGTGACTTCTACTTGGCAGACGATGAGGACTTCTTCCATGGTGCTTCGTTCTTCTGCGAGGTGCTCACCCGCACCCTGGCCAGAGTTCAGAGGATTGCAGAGGGCAGAGGGCAGCGCATGCCGGAACACTTGGTAGTGCAGTCCGACAACACAACTGCACAGGCCAAGAACGCGGAGGTCTGTAAGTACTTGGCCGTTCTGGTGCGCAAGTTCAGATTCAAAAGCGCAGTTCTCAATTTTCTTCGGGTTGGGCACACGCATGAAGACGTCGACTTCCTCTTCAGCATGCTGCTGGCGCTGGTCCTTCGCCGTGTCCGCTTTCAGGTTCCGGAAGAGCTGCGCTTGGCTATCTTGAGCCTGACCTGCATGAGGGCGCACCGCTGTAGGGTTTTCTTCTTTTGAGACTTTGCGCATGATGCCGCAGCTGAGGACTGGCATGTCAGCCATCGTGGCCGGCAAAGGCTATGACTTGCACTGCGAACTCATGTCCCACGTGCGCAACTTCAAGGAGTGGATGGACCCTATGTGTGTGCACCCGCATAACTGCTGGAGAGCACGGCAGGGGATAGAGAGCCCTCATTCCTTTACCTTCAAGCTACGCATGGACTTGACGCAAGCAGAGTTCTCTTGGCTGCAGCAGAGTCCAACAGATAGGGGGTGGCCCGCGCATGAGCTGGACGTTTTCGTTGTTGTCAAGCACTACATGGCAAGCGAGTCTCCGAATGGCCCACCCGTCCTTCTGATTCCAAACTCGCGCTACCTTCGCATGCAGCAGGCTGCCCTTCAAGGCAGCTGCTACGCCACGCACCCCATGAATGAAAAGCGCCGGAAGGAGCTGCGGAAACTGGCAGAGGCTTTGGAAACCTTGTCTAACGAGTGGGCCGCCGAACATTCCTACTTCCGAGCAGCCAGAGAGCTGCGCCTGCTCGCAAATGGGAGGGACGCACTTCGCTCCACTGATGGGTTCCTGGAGGCAGCCTCTGCTGACAGGCGTGCGGCGCTGGAGCCTTCTGCCGCAGCCTCAGTAGCGTGCTTTGACAAATTTACATGTTGTGATTGCATGGCACTTTGCCAAGGACAACCCCTACTTTCGAAATCTGCCGGGGGTGTCGTGGCAAATGCTTGTCAAGTTCAACTGAGAGCTGACTGCCAGAGTGCTGACACGCCCAGGAGTGAAAACGGTAATTGGTGCATTTTGCGGGAAGGTTTTGCAGGGCATTGGTTTGAGCCACCGTTTCTTGTGCACTTCAGGCTGAGCGTTAGGAAATAGTTTCAGAGTCCCAGAGGCTCTGAGGCCCAGGTCCCGTGACGCCATGGCCGCCTTGTTTGGCTTGACTGCCCTTTGCATCCTGCAGAGCACGGACTTTGCCGGGATTCCACGCAACCTAGATGTGGCAGAAGTGTTTTGCGGAGTGGGCAGCATTGCACTTGCTGCCGAACGCGCCGGCTTCGCTGCTGGAAGGTTTGACAAGCATCGCGTTGGCGGTTGCACAGATCAGGACCTAGGGATGTCTGAAGACATGACAACCAAAGACGGCTTCTTCCGGGCAGTGCGCCTGGTCATGCGCCTGCGTGAAGGGGGGCTTCTTTGGCTGGCTCCTGTTTGCTCTTCATGGGTTGGACTGAACATTTCACGGACCAAGCGCAGCTCTGCAAACCAGTTCAGGGGCAACCCAATCTATGCTCCAGTCGCACTTGGCAACATCATGGCGCTGGCCTGTGCCATCCTCATGGAAGTGGCTCACCGAAGAGGCGTGCAAGTTGTGATTGAAAACCCTCCATCAAGCACCTTGTTCAGATTTCCGGCTTTGGAGCAGGCCTTGGGCCGGCTAACGGCCTTTGTGTGCACCACCTGCCGCTGTGCCTTCGACAAGTCCAAAGACGGCACCAGGCTCTGGAAGCAGTACAAGCTTGTGGCATCAGCTGGCTGGATCAGACAATTGGCAAGGCAATGCCCATGCAAGAGCCAGAAGCACCAGGCTTTGACTGTGACATGGACAAACTCTGCAGGAAAGAGGTGCTTCAAGGGTGTCAAGAGACGGCAAGGTGACGTCCCGTGGGACGCTATGCACCGAACCCTCA